CTCAGGAGTTCATAGCTGAATGCGGTGTTAGGAAGCGGGGCCTGGCCAGAACAAGCAGTCCCTTTTCTTGTTCCCAGCTTCCTGGCTGCCATGGGGTGAGCAGCTTCACTCCTCCGTGCCCTTCTACCATGCTGGTTTTGTTTTGCAGTCAATCACCCATGGCCTAAATCCTCTGAAACCATGAGCCAAAACAAACCTCTCCTCCTACAGGTTGTATGTGTCAGGACGGGAAAGAGACAGAGATACTACCTTTAAACTATCGCATGAAGGATTACGTTTGTAACATGAGAACTTTGCAAGACACGTCCAAATGAGTTCTTTACTGCTGAATGACAAGCTACCACAAATTCAGTGGCCTCAAACAAAAAGTGCCTGTCTCTTATTGCGCAGAGTCTGTGGTCAGCTGAAGGGCTCTGCTGTTCCTGGCCAGGATCAGCTGATCTTGGCTGGGCATCTCACACATGCCATTGGACTGTTAGGTGAATGTGGGTGGCAGGGGCTGGTGAGCTGGTGCCTAACACTAGGATGGCCTAACACACATCTCACCCTTGGCTGCCAGCTCCAGTGACAGGGGGTTGAGTGAGCCATGTGGTAGCACATCCTCCTGCAGGCTGGTTGTTCACATGGTGGCGGCAGCTTTCCAAGATAACAGCAGGACACAGATAAGGCCCCTGAAGGCCTAGACCTAGACCAGCACCTCGTTCCTTTTGCCACATTCTAGATTCAAGGGGTAGGTGAGATCTTGATAGGAAACACTGCAAAGTCACTTTGTAAAGGGCACAGGTATACGAAGGGCCGGGGAACAGGATCTACAGAGATGAAGAAAAGCTGGGTAGCAGGAAGATGGCTGGGGGTGGACAGTAGCAAAACAGACCCTGTAGTGGGGAAGGAATGAGCAGCAAAAGGGGAAAAGGAAGAGACTGGCTACATGAAAACTACAGCTGCCGAGGCGTCCTAGGTGCTTAGCATGCCAAGCACCATGTGCACAGAATCTCATATAATCCTCACTTGTGCCTATGAGCAAACTTCCATTATTAACCCCATTTTACAGATGAGGCAATTGAGGCTCAGAGAGAATTAGGTAACTTGCAAAGAGACATACAGGATGCAAGATCTGAAGACAGGTTTCTGCATGAGAACATGCCACTCTTCTGTCACTAACTTGTCTCTCTGTTCCCGCCACAGGCCTCCTTCCCAGGCTTGGACCACTGCAACAGCTGGGTATTTCCAGTCTTTCTCCGGCAGTTGGCTTTTCATATAACGTGCCAGGAAGTAAATATTTTCAACTCTGTGCTCCATTTGACCTCTGTCTCAATTACTCCACTCTGCTCACATACTGTGGGAGCAGAAGTAGTTATTGCAGTGCAGGCTGAGTCCCAGATCCACTGAGTCAGAATGTGCCTTCTCCCCAAACAGCCGGTGGGCTCTGCAGCTCTGGCTCCCAGACCCCTCTGTCCTGGTACTTTCTTCCCCCTCCCACCTCATCCTTTGCTACTGAAGCCCCCTCTTTCCTGTCCACACCCACTTCAAGCAAAACCAGAGTTTCTTTCACCTCAGTGTTGGAGTCATTCCTCTCCAGCCGTTTTTACTTGGTTAATTTCTACCTATCACTGGAATGGATCTCAACTTGGGGACTTCCTCCAAGCAGCCCTTCTGGAGAACCTTCTGTTGCTCAGGTTTTGTCTCTCCTGTTTTCATTACCTTCTCCTTCCCGGGCTGCCCACCCTATAGGGCACTCTCCTCCCCCAAACACCTTTATCTGACACTGGCAACTGAACCTAGGGTCTTCTCAGTGAGTCACACATCAGCCTTTTTAAAAATTTCTTATTTTGAGATAGGATCTCACTAAGTTGCCCAGGCTGGGCTCAAACTTGAAATCTTTCTGCCCCAGAGTGCTGGTGTTACAAGTGTAACACCAAGTTACCTCCCTCAGTTTGTGATCCATGAAAAAGAGACCAAGTCTTTCCCAGGCACCCCTGTGTCTGCCCTCAATGCCCAGGGACATTATCACACGTTGAGAACTGTGAAACCCACCCACCAACTTCCCTACTAGGCACATGTTCTACACATCTACTGTTTAATCAGCATGTGAACACAGGATTTCCTCAAGCTCTACCTGGCTCTGAGCCTTCCTACCTGATAGCCAAGATTCCATCTACAGCTAAGCCTTGTTTTTCATATTAGCACGTTTATCATTCCCAGAGTGCCACAGGGCCTAAGACTGTTCTGGGCAAAATTAAGCTATGAATTCCACAGGCCAAGACTTGAATTGTGTCTGGGGGTGGGGGTATCAGGGTGTAGAGGAGAAGCAGCAAAGAACATTTAACAGAGTTGAAAACCAGTATCTTTCCCCACCTGGGTACAGAGCCAGTTCTGTACCAACAACCATCCATCCCCAGCTTCTCTTTGTGGAAAAGGACTTCCACAGAAGCTGTGGAGACTTCTACGGAGAACCACAGGCGGGTGCACATGCAGTCTGCCCTCCAGGAATATGAGGGCCCTCCCCAAGGTTGAGAGTCAGTCCAGAGCTTTCTACAATTTTCTTTATTAATACAGAAAAATGTAAAAGGTCCCCAAATGACCCATGGGACTGAAAGTGCAAATTTTACTCCAACTTGGCATAAAAAAACCAATAGCAGACCTTGCTTGACCATTCCGGTCGTGGAAATTTGGTGTGAATAAAATGCTTTTTAATCACAAAATCTTAGCAGCTGAACCATATTTGAGTAACTCTTTGGTCTCTGTTGTTGGAAAAAACTTGTGACTTCCACTTCCAGATTGCATCATAATACACAATTTGGGGTCAGAAGACACTAAAATGACAATAAAGTAGGAGGAATGTTCTAAGCCAAGTGGCAGAATCAAGGCATCTCTTTAAGGCAAAAGGTGCTAAAATACTCCTGAATATCTGATACGTCAAAAACCAGATTATATATAGTTTAGCTGCACATTTTAGTCTCTTTTCTCTGTATACATTATTGCATATCGTCCACCCTCTCCCAATTGCAAGTGCCACCCCATCATGTGCTATGGAGATATAAAAAACTGACATGTATCTAAGTCACAGACAAGTGATTTAAAAAAACCCCAAAACTAACAAGCACCACACTGATAACACTGAACTTGTTTCCCTCTTGCGGGACACTGGAAATGTGCACGAAGGTCACTTTCTCTACCACTGGGGGAAAAAGTCTTCATGGGAGTAGAGATGAGAAGACATCTTTGGCAAGGACAAAGTCACATGCTACAAGAGAAAAAAGTGTCGCGCTCCAGGTTACACCAGCCGCCTGGGCAGCATGTTTGGTGGACGCCTTCTGAGTTGTAGGATGCTCATTTTGGTGGGAGCTGTCGGGTCGGAAAGGGACACCAACAGCGGGCAGCGGAACTGACCAGAACTGTGTTCTCAGCAGGAGGAACGGGACAGATCTAAGTTTTAACCCAGAGACCCAGCTCTGTTTTTCTGCTGTTCACAGCCAACCCACCATCATCAGAAAGGCACAAGCTGGGATATGATGAGCCAAAAAAATTAATTAATTTAAATACAAAAAAAAAACACACCAAAAAACAAGTTATTCTGCAATCCTTCCTGATTACTCATCTGCAAACTCCAGCGGAGTGAAGGAGTTCAGACCAAATTGGCAGGAAGGAAATGACAAGAACAGGCCCTGGCTAGCCTGATGGAGGATCTGACTCAAAGAATGGCTCCAGAATTGAGGTTTTTCTGGCAGCTACGAGGGTAGTGTTATCTGTGGCCATGTTAATTTTTTTTTTGGCGGGGGGAGTGTCCTACAATAAAGCTTAAATCTGAGAGATAAAGAATTGAATTATCACACCCCAGCTACGTGTAACACCACCAACTCTACTGCAAACAATATAACTTCTCACATACTTGGAGGGGTGCTCACTGTGTAAGGCAGTTGTCGCAGACTGGTAGCCCCCAGGTCAACTAAATGTTTTGTCTGGTCTACTTGATGTTTTGGACATTTTAAATGTATGTGTTTAAAATTCAGTTAGGGTCACCTTAAAAAAAAAAAAGTCCTGATTTCCAGCCCCTCCCCTTCCCTCTTCCTGCTAGGAGCTGAGTAATTTTTATTCCTTGTTTGCGCTCTGCTCCCACCACCTCACTCCTTCTCTGTTTACTTCCTCCCTATTTCCTGCAGGCTACTGAGATTGTGACCCCCGGCACATCCCTAAAAAATGCGTCTTCTAAACCCAAGCCTCACTCACCTCCTGGTAGGATTTCACCGCATCTCCCTTCCCACTTCTCTCCCTTTCACTGCCATCCTAAGCCTTCCTTCCTGAATTCCTCCAATTCCTCTTAGCTCACATGCATTCTTTCTTTCAGCTACAGTTTCATTTTGCAATACCCATCTCCTCTAGGCCCATGAGCATTCCGAGAAGGCTCCAAGCCCGGTCAGTGGGAGTTCCTGCCGGGTGTCTCACCGCAAAATGCCTGAGTCATCTTCCCCAGAACATTTTCTTTGGCTACTGGCTAAGCAATTGAAAACGCTTTGGTACAGCCTCCTTCTACGAGAATATGTGCATATATGAATCTCCAGTACCAAGCACACACAGAAAGTGTGTACATTTCAGATGAAGGATGCGAGGAAGCCCCAATAAAATACAGACTTGAGCTTAATTTAAATGCCTCAGGCAATGATCACACCTGGCTAAAATGCCATATGATTCCATCTGTACACAGTACATGTTTTGGATTACTAAACATTGATCAAAATTGATCGAAACCTCTACGTTTTGGCTACCATGTATGGAGAACAATTGCTCAGCATGGCATTTAAATACAACATTAATTATTTTAAAACTTCACAAATACAATGTTCATTAATTTAAAAAATAATAAAATTTAAAAAACCTTGAGGATGGAAGAGGCATTAACCTGAAAGAAATCATACCAGTAATAAACTATAAAACAGTATGTTACCAGAGTTATACTTTAAAATATTATTACAATTTTTAAAAAGGAACCCATTATCTCAGCTAGACATATTTGGAAAACTTAGCTTTTAAAGCTTTATAATCCAAAAAATAAAAAAATAAAGCTTTATAATCCATCTGATAGCCTCCCCAGTAGATTTAATGACTATAGGGGAAGTTAGGCTGAGTATGGAAATATATATATATATATTCTAGTCTTGGCACTTAAAAGTAATTTTTAAAAACACTGTGCAGTTTATATCTTTGCAGGAAGCTGGTGGGTTAATCCTTTTGCTCAGTGCAGTACCATATGATATAACGTTGGCCTCAAAAGCTAGGAATGAACTTTGGGGTGTCAAGGGGAATGGTCCCCAGAACGCCGCGACAGCTGCAGCTGTTTCTCCTTCAGCCCACGGTTGCCAAGGCTGTAAGAAGCCCATGCAGCTCTGATGACAAAGATTCCCTGTAAATCATTTATTTGCAATGATTTCCCACAGTGGCCAAGTGGGTCCCCTAAAGAAAGGAGGTTTACAGAAGTCCCTCAAAATAGCTCAGAAAGGAAACAATGGATCTATTCATGTAACTACTTCTGTCTTCCAAGTTTTGCTCTGAAGAGTCTAAGGAAGCACATGTCTTTGCTTAAAAAAAAGTCTCCAACTATATATATGCTGAGGGCCGGGGATTTAGCTCAGTGACTCTGCTGCCTGCCTCACAAGCACAAGGTCCTGAGTTCAATCCCCTGTACCACAAAAAACAAAACAAAAACAAAAAACATATAATGCTGAGATTGGCTGCACCTCCAGCCAGAGAAGCAGATGATGGGCCATGCTAACCTTGAACTGAAAGCAAACAGGCTCCGCTGGGCTGCAAAATAACATCCAACCCCGGCGGAACTTCTGCCCTACCCCGCAAAAAAGAGATGACTTCTCCCAAAGACTGTTTCCTTTACTTTCCTCTAGCTTATTTCCTCTATGCTCTATCTCTTCTGCCCCCTGACTGGGAGAAAGTGATGCCCAAGCACAGATCCTAAGATACTGAACTCTTTGTTGCCAAGACTCAAGCTAAATCAAGAGTCCCTCAGGACCAGGGGCTGGCTGGACCGGTGAGAAGTACCTTCCACCCAAAAACCATCACTGTGCACTGGGAACAAGAACACATCAGGCACAGAGACGACTGTTCATTTCCTCTCCACAAGCTCCTTAAACTCCTAAAGAAATCTTTGCAAAGGAGTTTGCTAGAAAGCCTTCAAGCCAAAAAGGTTTCTGTGACCAGCCAGCAGCAGACCCTTGCCAGACATCTTAACAGGCAAAGACTGAACTGTATCTTTCTCGAGACCCAACACGTTTGATGGCTTCACCAGCATGGACTTCATTAAGGATTCTGTTGCTACCTTGCCTGTAGCAGGCACTCGATAACAGCCCAGCTGTGGCTGCTGGGATGGTAAGGAATCATGCTGGCTGCTTTGTGAAGCTGCATGGGACTTCATAAAAAAGGTTCCTGGCCTTCCTTTCAGATGCAACATAACAAGCACCACAAAATAGGAGAACTGATCAACATAAAGTGCTATTTACTCTAGAAACCTCTCCAACCAACTCTTGATTGGCTCTCAAGACATGTGGCTTACTGACAGTCCTATTAGATGCCTGTGATTACACCATTTAAGCACATTAATATTAATCTGAATGAAGGAGTGATGTCCCACAGAATATTAACTGTGGAACATAACTTCAATTCCAGTTGTGGATTGATTTGAGAGAAAAAAAAAAAAAAGGAATTGGAAACCCAGTACCTTGCAATTAGGTATATAAAAAATATTCATGTTTAAAAACTTTGGGGCAGAGAGATCTAAGTCTGAAAATCAGCAAAGGGAACTTTCTCCGCAATTGGCCCTGCCTCCTTTGCTAGCCTTCCCTAAGAGCTGGATCTTTCTACCAGATTCTGCAGGGACACCATGTGGACCAGCTCTCAGTAGCTGCAGTTAGGCGTCATTCCCTGGTTTAGCCAGGCTCTGGTGAGTGTGAAGAAGACGCAGTAACTACACTGGGCTGTGGAGCCAGGGCGTGACAGTTAAGCCACGCTGTCCAACGATTCCCTCAGCCATCTGAACGTTTAACCCCTCCCTCAATACCCCGCCCCCACCCGTGGGAAAGGCTCTAGGAGCGTTCAGGCAGAGGAGGGGCCTCTCAGTGTCTATGGTTCCTGTTCAGGGAAGCCCTGAGAGCGCTGACTCCAGGGTGAGGGGCACCTGGCAAGATATCGAGGGCCACCGAAGGCCCGGAGAAGCTGAGGCAGCCTTCTCCAAGTGGACAGCAATCTCGCCGCTGCTAGCTCCCTGGCGTGCAGGTCGAAAGCGGCCAGGAGGTCCACCGGGGCAGCTTCTCGAAGTACCTTGGGCAGAGGGCCCACTTCAGCGGCTGCCCCATCGGGGCCCAAGACGCAGTGGAAGAGCGTCTGGCGCCCCAGCAGGCAGGCCTTGAGGAACTGCACCAGCTCCTCCAAGCATTCGCTCAGGTGTGCCTCCTCCCAGCCTGGCCCTGAAGTCCCCTCGCGAAGAGACACTGTCAGCACCACCGTCTTGAGCACGTATGAGGATAGTATGTGTCCCCACTGAGCGGCAGCCGTCGGATCCAGCCCGCGGGCGCCCAGATCTCGCAGAGCTTTCAGCAACTGGAGGCACTTGAGGTAGCAGGCACCTGAAGCGGCCCGTTCCTGAAGCCAGCCGAGTAGCTTCTGCTCCTGTCGAGCTGTGTTCACACCCCACAGTGCCTCGGAGCGCAGGCCTCCTGGGAGCTCCGAGAGAGGCCCGACTGGCGAGGGTGGCGGGGGTGGCGCCACGAGGAAGACACTGTCCCCGAGATGGACTGCAGGGATGAGCCGCACTGCCATGGAAAGGCGGCAGCAGCCATAATCCGTGCGGCAGGGTAGGATGTGTAGGGTAGGAGGCTGCTCCAGGCCGCCAGGGGACAGGCTGACCCGACAGCACTCTTCCAGTTTGTAGCGCACGGTGGCCAGGGAGCGCTGCAGGTGAGACTGGAACCAGCGCAGCACCAAAGCGGCAGAGAGGTGGCGCTGGCCACGGACATCCACGCAGAAGCTGTCTGCGAAGGGTTTGCAGTTCCGGAGCCAGTGGCCCCCCGAGGTTCCCGACGGCGAGGGAGGTGCCTTGAGAGCACACACGAAGCAGCTGTGGAACGCGGGGGCCAGAGCAGGTTCAGTGCCCAGGCTCCGAGGCTCCAGCGCCACCAGCGGCGGCAGGCGCAGGGGCACCAGCACGTCGAAGCTGTCCGGCCGGCGGATCTTGTGCTGCTCGTAGGCGCTGCCCACCTGGATGAAGTCCCCGCGGAAGGCCAAAGCCAACGCTCCCCCGGAGATGGGGCCTGGGGACCCCCGGATTCGGCCAGCCCGCACCAGCTCGCCCACGATCCGGCTCACGTGCGCCTTGCTGTGGCCCAGCACGTGAGGCGACAGGCGCACCTCGTGTTCGTAGTAACTCTCCAACAAGATGCCAAGGCCGGGCTCTGAGAGGTGTCTGTGGGAGAAGCCGGAGTGGCCCACCAGGCGGGCAGAGACAGGAAGGAAGCGCTGCCGCACAGCGTGGCGACAGCGCAGGAGGACGTAGCTGAACAGGAGCAGGATGGCCACTTTGAGCAGCGGGAAGCCACTGCCCGCGCCGTCGGGGGGCTCGGTCTCGGCTGCC